GTGAAGCGCCTCGTGATTTTTATCTTGGGAGGCGCTATAGAAATGATATTTTCTTCTTCTTCTTCTTCTTCTTCTTCTTCTTTTTCTTCTACCTCAAGAATAACAGCCATCTAATCGTGTTTCTTTCTTAACACATTTCTAGTATTTTTATCCCTTTGATTTAATTTGTCACCTTTGTTTTCATGCTCTTTATTTATGTATTTATTTAACCAGGAAGGTCCCATTGAGATTGAAACCCTACTTTCAAGGGAGACCTGGCCAAGAGGCTGCAAAAGAGTGACATTTCTCAGTTACACAGATAGTTACATACAAAATTATTGAAGGCAGTTACCACTAGGGGTTGTATCAACTAGTCGATTTCACTGCTTTGTAGTGACTTTTTATGCTTTTCAATGACTAGTTGCTGTCACGTGATAATGACCGACAAGATGCAGTCCTCGGAAAAGACAGCAGGTGACGAGCCCCTGCGCGTTCGGAGGCGATGCGCTGTGCCAGAGCGTCGGTATCTGACGCTCGCCGTAAAACGGACATTCGTCCAATTTTTGACCTTTACCCTCTTGCAATTTAACCTTCCCCTCAACTCCATCCTAACCTTAACCAGCTTGCGCATGCAAAGCTCTGATCGTTGACGCGCTCCAGACATCTGTGTCCTGTGCACGGCCACAGTAACATTATCAAATCAGGTGTCGCCAACTCAAAAACTAATTTAACACAAGATCGTTCATGTCGGCTCATTTCCTTTCATGTTTTCTGTCTTTTCCTGCAGCCTGTTCCACATAGAAGTGACCTCAAGCCCTTTTAGATAGATGGATAGATGTTTTTATTCGGTCAACAACAACAATTTATCAATTTTACACAAAAGTAATCAAGCAACCAAAAAAGGAATAGGTTGAAGCCTAGTGGCTTAAAATTAGCCTATCCTTAACTCCCACAGAGATAATCAAAGAAGGGCATTGCAGTTGTTGAGGCGGGAGATGACAGTAGATTGCACCAGGAGCTGGTTGACATATTGTATTAGGTACAGTCTGCTCTTTCGTATGTTATACAGCGTGAAGCAACATGAACGACTGACAGAGGCAACATGATCTTTACAGGTCAGCTGGTCATCGATCACAACGCCCAAGTTTCAAGCTGCCTTTGAAGGAGCCAGAGATGGGGAATCACTTTGGATAGAGATTTAGTGTCATACGGATAGTTTCAGTTTTAGAAAAGTTGAGTTTGAGATGGTGGGATTTCATCCATCTTGATATGTCAGAAAGGCAGTCTGAGATTCATGCAGAGACTGTGAGGTCAGCTGGTGGGAATGACAGCTGGGTGTCATCTGCATTAAAGTGGTAGGAGAAGCCATGCGATCGAATGATCTCACCCAGTGAAGTGGTGTATATGGCAAAGAGAAGAGGTCCTAGTACAGAGCCCTGGGGTACTCCTGTGGCAAGATGGTGAACGACAGATGATTGTCCAAGCCAAGATACACTGAAAGATCATCCTGTCAGGCATGATTCAAGCCAGGTCGCTCTAGCTTCTTTTAAGGATTCTTTCACCGGTAACAGAGCTGTGGAGTGGCCATTTTTTAACCCACGTTGGTATGGGTCAAGCAGAGGTGTCCTGTGATCTGCTTGAAGGAAATATTCAGACCAGCCCATCTGGCACCAACAACCATGCTACATTCAAAGTCACTTAAATCATCTTTCTTCCTCTTTCTGAAGCTCAGTTTGAACTGCAGCGGATCGTCTTCACCACGCTAACGCGCCTAAGTACATTGAGTTGCCACCATGTGATTGGCTGATTAGTAATTTGCGTTCATGAGCAGATGGACAGATGTACCCAATAAAGTGGCCAGTGAGTGTATATCATGGAGATAGTTAGATTCAACATGAAATTGGAACATCTTTTTGGCAGATTTGTATTTTTTCCCCCCATATTTCACACCTCTCTTCCCTTCCACCTTTTGGGTACCTTTAATGTATTTCACGCTTCGTTCTTCAGTTCAAGACGTTCTTATGAAATCCCATGTGTGAATTAAAAGCAGGCATTCCTTGGTCACATTATACTTTGAACACAATGGAAAGCATTTTGCTTTTTATATTATTTCATTGTTTTTCCTTTGGATTCTTTTCCTTTTGCACATTCTATGTTTAAGCTAATCAAACAACTTTTACTCTTTTAGGTTTTGATTTTACTAATTGTTCTAAAATATTTTTATTCTTTGTCATTCAAACAGTAATTTCAGCCCAACACAGAACTCAAAGTTTAAACCATTTTCTAACAAAGAGGTTTTGTAATAGGTAGCAGCTTCATTTCCTGTAGCAAATTTTTTTTTGGGTGGGGGGTCAAACAATGTTGGTGGATGACAATGTTTCTGTTTCACAGCATCGTGTTCAGGCAGAGGTTATAATCAAATATGCATGGCACAAATTAAAAATGTAACAGCCCTTTTGCCAGTCCAGCCTGAGAATAAAAACTGGATTCTGCATGAATAACGAACAGACTTGATGTAGGAAGCGAGAACTTTTCCTTGTGTTATCTTAGTTGGAGCTCATTTATAAACTCCAAACTAACTAGGTTGCCATTGTTAGTTTTTTGATCATTTCACTTCTAGTTCTGACAAAACAATAAAAAAAATAAAAAACACAAAGTTAGAAGGATCTGAAAATCTTTACCTTCCAGACACCTTAAAATGGTTCACTGAAAAAACTTTTATTATTATTATTTCTGATTGTGTTCGGTCACTCCGAGTTTTTAACGCAGGCTGAACATGAGTCTCCTACACCGATCTCCTTCTTTAACTTCTGATAGAAGATTGATGGTGAAACTCTAGAAGTAGAAAAGCCTGACAGATCTACGTCACACTGTCACTTAACATTCATGGACTCACCCATCTTGACTCACAACAGGGAAGGCTGTTGTTGGTTTAGCGTCCAGGAAACAGCAGAGAACGTCTTGGCTAGAAGAAGCTAACCATTAGCATTAGCAACTCCAGGCTCTTGTTATTTGTGGAGGTATGTTGCAGAGCAAACAGAGTCATTGGTAGAGTCATGTTGCTGTTATCCAGTCAGAGGTGAGATGTCCACATACCAGGAAATAAGACTCCAAAACCTACTGAAGATACTTTCTCCTCCAGCTAACTTGTACGTCATGATTCAGATGCTTTTCTCCCCGGAGTATGACTTACAAGACATTCATTCCTACTAGAGACCACTAAAAATGTATTGATTAAACGAGTTTTCAAAACTGTTGTGATCCAACGGATTTTAGGAGTTGAGAAAACAAAAATATTTTTAGGTGCAAATAAAAATAGCAATTTTTACATTAATTTTTATATGTTCTTCCACTAAGTGTCGCCTAAATCTATACATCAATTTTAACTTCTTTTATAAGCCTTCTCTCATCACAGGTGGACCTCGTGGCTTGAAATGCAGCACGATGCAAATAGAAATAAAATAGGGCTGGAAAAATTAAAATTAGAAAGTATTTTATAAAATAGACTTGAGCTTTACCGGTGTACACAAGGTGGGTTCACAGACAGAAAAGAAAGAAAGAAAACAATCTTCTCTATAGCGCCTCTCAAGATAAAAATCACAAGGCGCTTCACAACAAAACCCCAATATAAAATCAAAAAATTTTTTTGAAAAAGATTCAAAATATGTTTAAAATTTGCAAAAATAGACAATTGTGATTTAAAAATGTTAAGAAAGAGAGAGTGCATAGGAAAGAGAGGAATCTGTGGATTCTAAAGAAGATAGGCAGGGAGAGCAGAATAAGGAGAGGGTGGTGATGACGGTCATACAAAAACCAGCCTGAACAGCTGAGTTTTCAGCTGCTTTTTAAAGGAGACCACTGAGTCCACTGATCTCAGGCTCAGGGGGAGAGAGTTCCAGAGTCTGGGGGCCACAGCAGCAGATGATCTGTCACCTTTGGTCTTTAGCCTGGTGCTGCACAACCAGTAGGCTTTGGTCACTGGACCTCAGGGACCTGCTGGGGGTGTAGGAACTAAGAAGATCACCAATGTAAGATGGTGCTTGTCCATGTAAGGCCCTATAGACCAGAACCAGGATCTTGAAATGAACCCTGAAGTTGGCTGGCAGCCAGTGAAGCTGGAGGAGAAGCGGGGTGATGTGGGTGTGTTTGGAGGACTTGGTCAGAAGCAGAGAAGAGGCATTCTGAACCACCTGTAGACGGTTCAGGGAGGTTCTGCTCAGACACGTGAAAAGAGAGTTACAGTAGTCTAAGCATGAGGAGATGAAGGTGGGGAGAACTGTCTCAAGTTCAGACAGAATGGGACTCAGCTTAGACGGAAGAAGGAAGAGCGAACAAGAGAACTGACATGAGAATCCAGGGTGAGAGCTGGGTCAAAGGTCACACCAAGATTCCTGACAGAAGGTTTGGTGTGAGAAGCAAGCTGACCAAGAGGATCTCTGACTTTGGGAACCAGCTTGTCTGGGGCACAGATGAGGATCTCAGTCTTGTTTTCATTCAGCTGTAGAAAGCTCCCAGCCATCCAGGCACTTTGAATCTGATCAAGTTCGCAGTTTTAACACCTCGGTTTATGTGACTTATGTCAGTGCCATTCACATGTGTTCGTTTCCACGACTGGTTCTACTGCAGACTGACACGAGCAAGCAAACATTATCGTCAGAGCGGAAATAATAGATGGAACAGATGAGTGCCTGCTTGCATTACAGACACAATTAGATATGTCAGCTGTGCACTTTTTTGAATGATAAATTACTAACAAATCTCTGTGTCTGAGGGTTGGATTCATCACCCTGGTAACCAGATGGATAGACACAAATTTAATACCAACCTCTTTAAGAGTAAACAGAGAGCAAGCTTTTTGCTCTCCCACTAATTTTAAGGCATCACGTCCCTCCGCTGCTTAATGCACAGAGGCTACGGCTAATAGGTCTTTGATGGACTGATAGGTAAACCCTCACTATGGTTTACAAATTTTAAAATAAAGGTTACTGCACTTTGTTCTGTGTTTTCCTGTTTTTCTACAGCTTGTCCTCAGGGCACCTTTAAGTCATCCCAGGGGGCAGGATTATGTCAGCAGTGTCCACTCAACAGCCGCTCCACCATCGAAGCTGCCACCCTCTGTGGGTGTCGAAACGGATATTACCGTGGAGACATGGACAAACCGGAGGACATGTGCACCAGTGAGTAATTGTGATTGTGCACCTATCGCATATAAGTGACACATGGCAGGAGATGAGTGGCTGACACCGCCGACAGTCTAATATTTCATAATTAAATGAAAAATACAACATCTGCTTTGATTTATGTCACCGCCTCTAAATTTATGCACCCCACTCCAAGTGCTGCAGCGCTCTTCTTCTTGTTAAGGGATTTTGGGAGCAGTAAGCAATAATGTCGCCACATTCCTCAGCCGCTGCATTCAGGTGAGTGTGTGTTTAGTGTGAGGAAGAGGAAATATTTCGATGCTTCATGAAGAGCCGAGCTTGAAAAACGCAGCCCCTCAGTTCCTCAGAGACGGTGAAAGTAGGTTGGAACATGAATCATGTTGGACTCAAAGTCTGAAACTGTGTGTGTGTGTGTGTGTGTGTGTGTGTGTGTGTGTGTGTGTGTGTGTGTGTGTGTGTGTGTGTGTGTGTGTGTGTGTGTGTGTGTTTGCACAAAGTATGCAATCACTCGTGTGTGTCTCTGCATGTCCTAGTGACCTGAATACATCCTTACATTTTCAGAACTAAAACTAATGGATTAATTGCATTTGTGTCTTTAACATTTCTAATTATACATTTTATACTACATCTTTAAACGTATAAAACAAAATAATTTTAAAACTACACATTTACGTCTAAAATGACTAAACAGTGAACTTCATGTAATCTTCTGGACATTTTGTGGAGGAACCACGTCTCACATGATTCTTGTTTAAAGGTGCAATTTGTAAAAATGACATCATGTGGTCAAATATGGTTACTGCAGTAATTTTTTAGGAAAATATTACTATTTCACTCCTGTTCCGTGATTTGTATGGCTGTTCCCAGTTACGGATCAGCGCCAGAAGATTCTAGATGACAAACCAAAACAAACACAGTAAGCTGATAAAAGGAACCATTGTTATATCTGGTGTTAGCACTCTTGGGTGTTTTACGGTAAGGAGCATTTACTGCAGTTATTTTGGTAGTTTGTCTCTGGCATTAGAGGCAGTGTGGTTGCTGTCTTGCTCTTATAATTCTGAACGACTCATTAAAGGAAGTAAAATGCCACGATTGACTCATTATTCACTTCACACATACATTTTACTGTAATATGGAGTTGTTGGTAATTGAAAAAGTAACTTCAGATATTTTAGAGCCTACTATTTGCTTCTAACTAAATGTTAGCCTTTTTAGCTTAATATTAGACTTCTTAGGAGTAAAATTAATAACTTCTGGATGGTTCCGGTTTACTGGCTTCTGTTCTTTAAATAAGTCTGGAGCTCTTGGCCTGTTGGTGTTAGTTACAAATGACTGTGTTGCTGCATTAGCTCAGCACAGAATCTGCAAACTCACAAACATCAGCTTAGAATGAAATCTGTTTCAGCGTAACCTTCATTCTAACATGATAGAGACATTAGACTGTTTAGTAACTATCTCACAATATTATCCTTACACACTGCACCTTTAAAAAAAGGGTAATTAATTAAATCTTTTGAGTGCGTCATCTAGGCTGCACATTGGTGCAGTGGTTAGAGCTGTTGTCTTGCAGCGAGAAGGTCCTGGATTCGCTTCCCAGCCTGGGATCTTTCTGCATGTTCTCCCTGTGCATGCGTGGGTTCTCTCCAGGTACTCCGGCTGCCTCCCACAGTCCAAAAACATGACTGTTAGGTTGATTGGTCTGCCTAAATTGTCCTTCGGTGTGTGTGTGTGTGTGTGTGTGTGCGCGCGCACACATTTATAATTGTTTGTCCTGTGTGTCTCTGTGTTGCCCTGCGATGGACTGGGACTCTGTCCAGGGTGTACCCCGCCTGATTGCCCATTGACCGCTGGAGATAGGCACCAGCTCCCCCCGCGACCGTACGTGGTCAAGCGGGTTCAGAAAATGGATGGATTGTGTCATCGATAACAAAAAATTAACTTTTTGACTAATGATTAATGGAGATACTATGCAAACAAAATCATTTGTTTTAGCTAAATTTGTTAGTTTTCAGCGTTAAATTAGTAGCTCGATTCTTTGAAAATTTGATTTTGAGAAAAAATAATAATAAGCTACATGTTTTAGATCATTTTGGTGTGATAGAATTTAGCTCTAATTTAGACAGGTGAGCTAACATCTGGACACAAAAAGGCTAGTAGCTCTGCAGCTGATCTAATTCATTCTGAGGTTGTGGACAGAGCAATCTGCAATAATAAGAAGTTTATTGTTTAGAATCTTTCCACCGAAGAGCTGAGCTATCCCTTAAATGTTAATTGGGATTTTAATTAACAAATAACAACGATGTCATGGATTTTATCAATATGCTTGTCAATAACCCATTTCCTATAGTCGGAGAGAAAATGGAGAC